TCAACGGAAAAACCTAACTCAACACCTCCCCCGTGTAACACTCCCACCCAGAAGCTGGACGATAAATGTGCGTTAGTCAGTTACACCGACTAGTAATACTAATATACTGTATAATAGGTTTTCAATAGTTGCCCATTTCTCGAAAATGTGTTCGTCCATGTAAAAAAAAAAAGATATAAACAATCTTTAAGTTATCGTTATGCAATATTCTACATGATATTATAGAAATAAACTATTGTACCTTCGTTGTTATTATTATATAGTTAAGATTCAATGTTTGTTACAATATATACTATAGATTATATGTAATCGGTGCATCTATCTAACTATTATRTATTATGTATTATTTTATCAATAACAAACTTTATTACTGCATCACGTATATTATTTGTGCTTTATTTATTTAGATTTAAAAGCTCTAAGCCTCGCCTTATTCGAGTTTCAAATGTTATAAAACTAATAATGGTCGATATAACAGTAAAACAAAATATATAATTTACTAATAATGCGAACATACAGAGTAATTCATTAAACATKCTCGCACACCTTTCTTCTTCAATAATGCAGTCATTCAAAGTCTGATTAATGGGATTTTATATTATAGGTACGTAATTTAAGACCATCTTTTTTTCATGTCCAGGAAATTTTTCATACATTCTACTCAATCTTTTACGCTGTAGAATGTATATTATGTTGAATGCGAAATCATCCTAAAAATTAGACGATGGATGATTGATAATTATCACTTGACTCTTCATACTCAGTTTCCTAAAGAATATTTAGTGGAGTTGGATTTCTTGTTTCCAAGCTTTATGGAATTAAAAATATTATTACCTATGATGGATAATCACTATGAATTGACTCTCCATACTCAATTTCCTAAAGATTATATAGTGGAGTTGAAGTACTTGTTTCCAAGTTTCTTGGAATTAAAAATATTCGTATCATAGATGAGTTTAATAGGTACATCTATAGAAAATATTATAGGAAATTAAAATCATAGGTATAGTGTCATGAAAAGTTCCCAAAATCTTCAAAATAGTAGATAAGGGTGAACTAGTGTTTCATTTAAGGTATGTTTAGTACAGTCCAATATATATTATTATGTGCATGACATTAAAAGTTAAAATCAAATGGCAGCAGGTTCAGGTAAACAGATGAAAAATAATTTCCAAACCTATTGATAATCTCTACTTTGAAAGAAGAATAAAATTTAATCGTCTTATCTGTAACCACGTTTTATACATTTCCGAAAATAACATTGATAACTGTAGTAAAATTATACCTGTATGATTGTATCAAACCTAAATAAGTTAACAAATTTTTATCAGTTTTATATTCAAAACCGAAAATATTGATTATTTGTTTTTGGTTGTACTGGCTTAGACTCAGGGTTGAATCCAGACAATTTTTCTGGGGGCGGGGCTCACATTTTTTGAATGTGAATGGTGATACGTCATTTTATTATTATGAATTATATCTATTATATATTTATTACAATTCAGAAATTATAAATATTCAAAAAATTACAAAATAAATTAGAAACCTATTTATTGTTTATATTTAAATTAGTATTGTGCATTTAATAAATAAGTTAATTTTGTTGAAAGTCAGAAAGTTGTATTTGTCAGGGGGTCGTAAGAAATTTAGGCGAATGCCCCCCCTGAAGTATACCTGGATTCAACACTGCTTATACTTAAGGTGGTTCGAGACATATAAGAAGTAATATATTATGCCACATACTGCTTTTATCTATAATCGATACTTATAACTAAAAATAAATATTAGATTTTTGAGTGAATAGCATAAATTCATCATACAGTATAGCCTCAATATTCCGGACGAATTCAGACCGATCACATATATACAAAAAAAAACACCCATCATTGTAAGACCAATACATTCATCACTTCGTTCAGAATCTAAAAAGTGACAGAATAACGGGAATTTTTACGCAAAACCAATTTTCGACCAAATCGATTTTTTTATATGGTTGTTATTCAAAAACTAAWCACTGTAAATACTTGAAATTTTCACCAAATGTTTATGTTAGTGTTATCTATATACAGTTTAATCTTCAGAATTTTTTGACTTTTTTAAATTATTTATAGACCACTGAAATTTTCGATTTTTAAGAGAATTTTTTTTTTTGAAGTGTCGGTAAAAAAAATTTGGATGACCAAAAAAACGTGGAAATTTAATACAAAGTTCTTTTTGAGTTGTTCTTATTGTAGCTAAAAAAAATTAAAAATCGTTAGTCACAATTTTTTTTTTATTAGCGTTAACAGTTCAAATTTTTACAAAATCTGTCGAAAACGCGAAAATTTGCGTTTGAAAATTTGAGTAATTTTGAATTTGAAAAATCATAAAAAAWTTTTTGTTTATAACTAAGGATTAAAAATACAACACTAAGTTTTCCATAAATTTTTCTTCGAGTAGCTATAGAGAAAACTCGAATCATCGTTATAGAAAAATTTTTAATTGCGTTTGAATTTAAAATCTTTACGAAATTGCGTAACGATAACGATTTATCCTCAAACGATTTTAAACATTTGTTATTATTCAAAAAGTATAAGTCGTAGATACTTGAAATTATTTTACCAGTTATTTAGATTGGAATTTTCTTTACATGATTTAATTTTCAAAATATTTTGACTTTTTTTGAGATATTTATAGACAACTTAAATTTTCAATTAACCTAACCTAACTATTACGATTTAACCTCAAACCAAGTATATGTATATCTATAATTATGTAAGGTATTATGAATTATGATAATTACATGCAATGTTTTTGGAAAAATTGATTAACCATGCCTTATGCAAAATGCGTCGTAATTAAAAAATAAAATATTTGTTTCAAAATAGAATATATGACAATATTTAAATATAATATATCCTAGACTGACAAATCATCTCTGTTCAGAATCGTTTTTCGTATACCTTCAATATGATACCTATCATTGCATTCAAAGCTAACCTACCCTAGTCAGAGGTCCACCCCACCTCCTAATGTACAGCAGAGCGACATCCGCTTACCCGATTTTTTTTTTAATACAATTTACAATCGAATTTAAAATGCCCATGAGCGTAAATATGTATTCTATATCAGTTTGTACTATCCTCTTATCATCTTCTCGGTTGTAGCATAGTTTTTTGGATTTGATTGTTCGTATCCTATGGTTTAGGTTAGGTTAGGTTAGACTGGAGAGATTTAATTTATATGAATATATAATTAGATATATAACACTAACCTAACAAAATATATTTCATTTTTAATACAATTTTAATAATCGAAAACCTCTAACCATATTATCACTAAACACAGGGCAAAACAATGAGATACCGATATTAAATTAAGTATACGCAACTTTAATTTATCGTATTATATATAATACAGTCTATATAGTAATAGCTATAGTATATAGATGAGAACTAATATTATTGTACACTCGTCTTGAGTTACAAAATATAATATAATACAATGGTTAGGTCAAACTCCACTGACACACAAAAAAAGACAATTTTTCAACACCCAAAATCAATTGTGTCCTAAACGGATCTTCTGACTTGTATCCCCTACGCGGGATATTACACCCGGTGACAAGTCAAACACCCTTCTTTACCATTATCTCTTCATTCGGCTCACTGACTCTCTTATTTCAACCATCAAATTATTTTAGATTAAGAATTTAGTGCATTATGTTTTGATAAACTGCGGAAGATGAACATTTCAAAAATGTACAATATTAGATTGCATAATACCGTTATACTATACAGGCGCACAGCCATATCGGATTGTATGGAGGGCAACTTCATGCTAATTATTTACGGTTATTCGAATTAAACGTTGAATTCGATATAATAGTAAGTACAACGATAATATTAAATCCACACGCATAATCATAGATTCATATAGATTATCAATGATTAAGTGCATTATGATGAGTATATACAAATCACAACAAATTACAGTATATTGGTGTGTTTTTATATAGGTAATAATTGTTTTGAAATATAAATGATTTGAATTGAAAAAATAA